ACATAACTGATATTAACATGTAACGAGGCAGAGATCCCATTCTTAAAAGGTTAGTAAGATTGTCTTTTTTATCTCCTTTTTAATGGAAGTTTGAGACCATATGTAACTGGCGATAAAAATGGCTTCCTAATTGCGCTAAGACTCTCAAGTAATTGATAAAGTTCTGACGTACCCCAGTTAAGTAGAGAAATATTAATCAAGGGTTCTTTGTGACACCAGACGCTTCAGGACTCTCACACCTAGAGTTCACATCGTTTCACTCTCGAGGAAAAGCTCTTAAGTAATTGCACGGACACTTAGGTAGAGTAATTTAGGGTGATTGTTTTGTGGAACTACCCACCGTAAACACCGCATAATTACAAGGTGAATCACAGCGTGCGTGCCCAAATTTCTCTTAAACCCCTCCACCACCACCTCCCGCAAGACATACACACACACACACACAATCAACAAACAAGTAATTACAAGGATGATCATGTTTCACCCTGCCAAGATGTGTCGCTGTCTTGTCTACACTCGCCTACATGTTTAATATCCTCACACAACCTAATTCGAGCCAAAAGTTTCGAAGACTAGTTCAAAGTCTGAGTAGATTCCTAGTTTTCGGATAATGACTCAAAGTCTGAGTAAATTCCTAGTTTTCGGATAATGACTCAAGATTGAATTAAAAGTCATAAGTTCAAAATCGTAAGTTTCGAAGATTAGATCGAAATCAAGACTGAAGCAGTGAATTCGAATATTAGCTTTAAATTAAATGTCGAATCCTAATTTTGGAAGATGGTGCAAAGTTTTATTTGAATCATGCGCCCAGTTTCTTAAGTTTCAAAAGGAGACTCATATTAAAATGCGAATAATAAAGATCCGAATTACAGGTTACGAAATGTCTAAAAGTGGATTTAAAATCAAGGTTCCGAGACTCCGGTTCAACAAAATGATTCAAAATTAAATAAATAAATCCCAAATCACAGCTCAGATTACAGATTTATAAAGATTCTAGGACATAAGGCCACTCTATAAACCTAAAATTTTTAATCTCAAATTTTAAACCTCAAAGCTTAAATCTTAAAGCCTGATTATAAAGTTTCAAAGCTCTGAGATTCTTGTCTTGAGTTCCTATGCTCAAGTTTCGAATCTTTAGTTCACAATATAAGGCTTCAAACACTGTGGTGGAGTCTCGTTAGTACCACAGACGGTCTCCCCAACACATCTGAATTCATTTATGTATTTATAATTCCTCACGCCGAAGGGACCAGTGAGAGGGGTGGTCAACACTGCCTGTATCTACTTACCTCTCTTGTATACAGACCAAACTCGTCAAGGGGAACACCTACAGTGGACAAAGTTGTTGTTGTGTGTACATACAGGTCAGATTTTAACGTCAAGATTTTAATATATAAACGTTTAAAATCTAAGCCTTTTTTTCGATAACTAGGCCTATATACACGTCATCACAAACCCAAAAGCTGGTACAAGTTCAAGGTCAAAGGTCAAAACATTGTAAAAAACCACTAAATACCGTATTGCAACCTCGCTCTTGTGTAGTCCAACCTCACTTAATATTCCCAATCTTGCCAACCAATCATTTTCACCATTTGGGGAGGGTGGGGGAGGTGGAGTAACTGCCGCCATTACTTTTATTACTTACAATTACCATATATTACTACATAATTCGCAGGCCGACTTTTAAATTAAATGCCGTATGGCGTAAATTACACGATCAATATCAATTACCAATTATCTATCATTACCACATAATTACGGCCTTCATTACGTTCATTAATTAGTGTAATGCATTTATTATAATGGACGTTGGGTTCTGTTTTATACAAGGCTACAGTATTAACCCCATACACTGGATATGTATTATGCATTACATACAGGGGAAGGCTTAATGTATTACAAGGGTGTATTATTATCCTAGTATACATACATAATACACCATACACACACACAAACAAGCTTAATATAACACAAGGCTTGAGAAAAATAAAAAATAAATCTGTTGATACAATTTAAAACAATATTATGTATACCTGTATCTGGTATCATATAACTATCTTTAATACAACCTTTTAATATTATACACTTACAATATTATCATAAACTATCCTTTAAGACACTCAAATATATAAGGGTCTTACAAGGAGCGAGACTTAAGTGAGTTAATACATTAAGTGTGTTCTGTAAGTAGTGTGGGAGGGAAGTGTGTTGTATAAGTAGAGTGTGGGAGGAAGAGTGTGTTGTATAAATAGAGTGTGGGAGGAAGAGTGTGTTGTATAAGTAGAGTGTGGGAGGAAGAGTGTGTTGTATAAGTAGAGGGAGGAAGAGAGTACAGATAAGCAGAGTGTGGGAGGGAGAGAGTGTGTTGCATAAGCAGAGTTTGTTGTATAAGCAGAGTGTGCTGTATATAGTGTGTGTTGTATAAGAAAGAGTGTTGTATAAGTAGAAAGGGGTAATACATAAGTAGAGGTAAGGATAAGCAGAGTGTGGCTATATAAGCAGAATGTGGGAGGTGAAGAGTGTACATAAGCAGAGTGTGGGAGGCAGAGGTGTTGTATTAAGAGAGTGTGGGAGGTAGAGGTATAAGTAGAGTGTGTGGGAGTGGAGGTAAGTTGTATAAGTAGAGTGTGGGAGGGAGAGTGTGTTGTATAAGTAGAGTGCGGGAGGGAGAGTGTGTTGTATAAGTAGAGTGTGGGAGGAAGAGTGTGTTGTATAAGTAGAGTGTGGGAGGTAGAGTGTGTTGTATAAGTAGAGTGTGGGAGGGAGAGTGTGTTGAGACGGCAGACAATCTTCCAGAGTCTTCCCAGGGATAATTACTATCATTAAGAAACGATTAAGCGATGAAACGATTCTTCGCAGGAATGAAAAATTTAGTTACTGTAAATATGATGACAGGTGGCGAGTAATTACACCCCTCCCACCATGATAATCTCCCCAAAGACTGTTCTAATCTCCCCAAAGACTGTTATAATTTATGGTAATCTTCCCACAGACTGTTAAAATCCATGATAATCTCCCCACACTGTTATAATGCATGATAATCTCCCCCAAAACTGTTCTAATCTCCCAAAAGACTGTTCTAATCTCCCCAAAGACTGTTATAATTTATGGTAATCTTCCCACAGACTTATAATTCATGATAATCTCCCCACACTGTTATAATGCGTGATAATCTCCCCAAAAACTGTTATAATCCATGATAATCTCCCCACAGACTTATAACCCATGATAATCTCCCCACAGCCTCAGTTACACCCCATAATAATCTCCCCATAAACTTATCATCCACTATAATCTCCCCACTTATAATCCATGATAATCTCCCCACAGCCTCGGTTATTTACAACCCCACAGCCACCCACTCTTCCACAACCCAGAATCATTTGAGAATCGCCCCACTTCAGAGTCACTTAGTTTAAATTCAAATTATTTTCGAATCACTTCAATTTTGAATCATTGACTCGAGAAACAAATCAATCATAACTTTATCAGATTCAACCACTTTAAGAACTGTGGGCATCAGAATCACACACAGTATTAAATAGAGTCATGTTAGAATCACCTTCGAATGATTCCTATTATTAACACTTAATTTCAGAGTCAATGAATCGGCCAAGTCAGTCTACCTAATGTGGAATCAAGACTAATTTGTATCTCTGGCTTTTCGATTTTAATTATTTCTTATTTACATTTGAGAGAGAGAGAGAGAGAGAGAGAGAGAGAGAGAGAGAGAGAGAGAGAGAGAGAGAGAGAGAGAGAGAGAGAGAGAGAGAGAGTATAAAAATACGATTATCCGAAAAAAAATCATGAAATCACCACTAAAAAAAAAAAAAAATCACACCGAACACCAATAAAAAAATCACTACTAAAAAAAAAAAATAACAGCGAATAACAGCACTAAAATATTACATTAAAATCACGAGCCACCAAAAACAGCGTTGGCAGGGCGACAACAGCGAGGGTGGAACCATAAACTTGGCCCAATAAAGTTAGACAGACGGAAGCGGGCGAGAATCCCTTGTCATTTGGCCGCCACCCGAGGGGAAATAACCCTTGAATAATGACTAGTGAGAGTGACAAATCTCCCCAAAGTCTCCCTTCCCCCTTGTCTTTCTCTCCCTTCTCTTTCCCTTCCCTTTCTCTCCCTTCATACCCCCGTCTCTCTATCAATCCTCTTTTTCCTCTCCCTTCTCCTTCCCCCTTTAACCCTTTTCCGTTCCTCTCGATCTCCTCCCTCTCTTTCAACCCCCTTCTCTCAATTCTCCTCTCCCCCTCTCACTCTCTTCAAATCCTTGCCTGTCCACCAATACCCTACCCCGTCAGTTCCCCTCATCACCCCCTAAGCCCTTCCTCCGCCCTCCCCATGACCATCCTTTCCTGCTCTCCCCTCCTCTTCCTCACCCACAATCCCTCCCCCCCCTCTTTTTCCACCAATCTTCTTCCTTTTCCACCATCCCTTTCATCCAGTCATCCAGTCCAGCTAACGAGTGGGGGAGATTGTGATGGAAAAGAGGGGAGGAACCTTCATCTATTACCCCCCTCCGTCTTACTGTCCACTCCAGCGTTAACAGTTACCTCCCCTCACCCCTCTCTGTCTCCCTTCATCTTACAGCCATTTATTTTTTTTTCACTATCCATTATCTGACGACTGGCACGAAACATTTAACCCTACATTGTCTCCCTTGGTACTCGGACAAAAAAAAAATCCTTGGACAAAATTCTACCAGCCAGTTTCTCACAGGACAAAATCCCCCCCCCAAAAGGCTATTTCCCACAAATAAAAGACCTGAGAGACAATTCCCCGTTGGACAAAATCCCCCCCAAAAGGCTATTTCCCACTAGACCCAAAATAAACCCCAGCAAATGATATCCCGTTGGACAAAATCCCATAAGGCGATAAGAGGAAAAGTAAGGAAAGTTGTACTGAAATTTTACTCCATTACGGGTAACTAGTCTAGATATAATACAGTGCTTTTAAAGTGTCTCTCCGTTATTTTGGGATGCAGTTCATGGGGTTCGGAGGTCAGAGGTTTTGGGTTCGGAGGTCAAGAGGTTTTGGGTTCGGAGGTCAGAGGTTTTGGGTTCGGAGGTCAGAGGTTTTGAGTTCGGAGGTCAGAGGTTTTGGGTTCGGAGGTCAAGAGGTTTTGGGTTCGGAGGTCAAGAGGTTTTGGGTTCGGAGGTAAAGAGGTTTTGGGTTCGGAGGTCAGAGATTTTCGGGTATGGGATTCGTGGGTTCCGGGTCTAGGATTCGTGGATTTCGGGCAGAGGATTCGTGGGTGGGGAGTTTGAAGCTTCAGATATCGTGTTCGTAAGTTCGGGGAGATTAATGGGGAAGTTGAATGGGGAGATGAGTGGGAAAAATGAATGGGGAGATGAGTGGGAATATGAGTGGGGAGGGGAGAGGAGGGGAGAGAGGGACGTGAGCTATCTACACTAGGGGGTGATGGATGAATACAAACATTCTCTGTTATTGGCAGTAAAACACCCAAGCCTCCCCGCTGACATTGACAACTGTGGTGGTTATTGTGGTAGCTAGGTCTGGTGGTGGTGGTGGTGGTGATTGTGGTAGTCAGGCCTGGTGGTGGTGATTGTGGTAGTCAGGCCTGGTGGTGGTGATTGTGGTAGTTAGATCTGGTGGTGGAAGTGATTGTGATAGCTAGGCCTGGTGGTGATGGTGGTGATTGTGGTAGTCAGATCCTGGTGATTGTGGTGAATAATCATATTCTTCTCGTGACTACAAACATAACTAAAGAAGATAATCCCAATCCCCTCAAGAGCTATAGAATTCACACCAAGGACAGGCAACGAACACCACGAACAACAACAACAACGGACACTACGGACAACAACAACACACGAAACACAACGTCATGCAACACCTCCCAAAAAAAAACACATTAACAGGTACATTCATAATAATCAAAGTGTTAATGCCTATCCTAACAAAGACAAGAGAGACAATTAGGACGTAATCACCATCCATCATTGTAATTAACATGAATAATGACCATCACAAGTGCTAATAACAGGAGTAATTAACCTTTAACTTCATCAACACTAATAAGGGAGTCAGTTAACCTGGAGGCAGGTAATTTATACCATCTTTACATTAGTCTTTATAAAGTGACACGTACTCTGGTTAAGGGAGTCAGATGTGGAGGTTAATAGCTGGTGGGAGAAGTGATTTTTTTGGGATACATACATACATACATACATACATACATACATACATACATACATACATACATATACATACATACATACCTGACGCTGCATGCATTACTACTACGCAACAAACAATTTATGAGAGGGAGGGAAAAAAAGAGGAAAAAAAAGAGTGAAAAAATCAATCCTACATTCCCCCCTCCACAGAAACTTTAATTAGGCTTAGCACTGTCATCAACACGTGTACAGAATTTAGACAGGCAATTATCTAGATCTTGGAAGTGAAAAAAAACCCCATCCAGATCCTGAAGTTATGGTGGATGGTGGTGACGTGGAGTGGGATATTAAGGTGAGAATAATGGAGTCCCCCCTACCCTACCCAACACTCACCCTGGCAAAGAAAACGCGTTCACAAATTGACCCCGAGAGAGAGAGAGAGAGAGAGAGAGAGAGAGAGAGAGAGAGAGAGAGAGAGAGAGAGAGGTGTGTGTGTTTGCGTGAGGCGATATCTAAAACTAAAAACACAAACAAGACCACCACAATATGGCATCACAACTACACCGAGACTCTACCACGACAAGACCACTAGATACGTTCTCTTATCAACATTTAAAGGTTTAAATTAATAAAAATAGCGTACGAATCAATGTGAATCTGTTCTTTAAGTACCCCACTGTGTGTCAAGAGTCCTGCACTACTCCAACCTTCCCCTGCGACTGACAGTTGGTGTTTTTTTGTTTTTATGTAAAATATTTCACGAAACAATTTCTCTTTTTCCATCAACAGTGAGGCGGCGATTTAGCTTGTCGGGCCGGCTGGAGTAAACATGTGTCCTTGGGGGCTGAGGAACTACTGGAGGAAGGTCTTACGTGTGTTTTAACTCTGTACTCAATGAATGCTTTATAATTTATACCATCTTAATTATCTCTCTCTCTCTCTCTCTCTCTCTCTCTCTCTCTCAAGCTTCACCCAGCCATATCCAACAGCTACACCCAAGCAGACCCCCAACAGCTATACCCAGACAGACCCCCAACAGCTACACCCAGGCAGACCCCTAACAGCTACACCAGGCAGACCCCCACCAGCTGCCACCCAAGCAGACCCCAACAGCTACACCTAAGTGAGACCCCCAACAGCTACACCCAGCAGACCCCCAACAGCTACACCCAAGTATTCCCCAACAGCTACACCCAGGCAGACCCCCAACAGCGCACCCAGGCAGACCCCCCAACAGCTACACACCCAGGCAGACCCCCAACAGCCACACCCAGACAAACCCCCAACAGCTACACCCAAGCAGACCCCAAACAGCTACACCGATTAAACCCTCAACAGTTACACTCCAGGCAGACCCCCAACAGCTACACCTGCTAAGAATTTCAACAGCTACACTCCAGACAACCCCAACAGTTACACCTCCAGACAAACCCCCCAAACACACATTCCAGGCAGACTCCCCAACAGCTACACTCCAGACAGGACTCCCCAACAGCTACATTCCAGACAGAATTTCACATACACTCAAGCAGACCCCTCAACAGCTACACCCAGGCAGGTTCCCCCAACACACACCCAGACAGACCCCAACAGCTGCTGACCTGAGACAGGACCCCCAACAGCTACACCTAAGCAGACCTCGTCAGCTACACCAGACAGACCCCCAACAGCTAAACCTGAGGCAGACCCCCAACAGCTACACCTAGACAAACCCCCCAACACAGCACCAGGCATTCCCCAACAGTTGCTACCCAGACAGACCCTCAAACAACTACACCCAGGCAGACCCCCTCAACAGCTGGCTAGCTCAGCAGAGACTTCAACAGCTACACTCAGTTCCCAACAGCGACACCCAGACAAAAACCCCAACAGCTACACCCAGACAGACCCCCAACAGCTACACCCAGGCAGACCCCCAACAGCTTCTTCCCAGACCGTAACAAAGCTTCCGGGAGACTAGTCTTGTCTTCCGCTTGTCGCTTCCTGGTGAGTCTTCAGTTATATAGCTCTTAAAATATGGGGAGATGTTTTTCCTTTTTCCTTTCTAGATCTGAGCACGGCCTCCTCCTCCTCCTCCTCCTCCTCCTCCTCCTCATACATCTTCAATTCTTCTTCTTTCTACTCCCTCTCTTCTTCTTCTTCTTCCTACATCTCTCTCTTATTCCTACTCCCTTTCCCTCTCTCTCTCTCTTTATCCTCCTCCTCCATCTCTTCTTCTCCCTACTCTATCTCTCTCTTTTTCTTCCTCCGACTCCTCCTCATCTCTGGACAGCTGGATAACGAGGTATGGAGAAAACATATTCTAACGCACCGGTGATAATAATAGAAACAGTGAAACATAAGGTAGATGGTGGTAGGAACATTTAAACGTATGGCAGATATAGGAAACATTGTCGCATGACAGATGGTGGTAGGAACATAAACGGGCGAGCGATGGTAGAATCATTTAACGCTAGATAGGTAGAACATTAAACGCAGACAGATGGGTGGTAGGAACATTTAAAACGTAAGGACAGATATGGTAGGATCATTTAAACGTATGACAGATGGTAGACTATTTAAACGTATGACAGATGGTAGAACATTTAAACGGCGACAGATGGTGGTAGGAACATTTAAACGTAAGCGGCAGATGGTGGTAGGAACATTTAAACGTATGGCAGATGGTGGTAGGAACATTTAAACGTATGGCAGATGGTGGTAGGAACATTTAAACGTATGGCAGATGGTGGTAGGAACATTTAAACGTATGGCAGATGGTGGTAGGAACATTTAAACGTATGGCAGATGGTGGTAGGAACATTTAAACGTATGGCAGATGGTGGTAGGAACATTTAAACGTATGGCAGATGGTGGTAGAAGACGAAACGAAGCGACAGATGGTAGGAACATTTAAACGTAAAACAGATGGTGTAGGAACATTTAAACGTATGACAGATGGTGGTAGAACATTTAAACGTAAGGCAGATGGTAAAGATATTATGAAACATTTGAACACATGGCAGAAGAGGGGGGGGGGGGGTCGGGTCATAAACATCTAATCACTCTCTATATATATGTCTAAATATTTCCACATCCTAAATACAATAAAATATTTCTCGTAGTGTCATACTCAAGCGTCGACACTCTTCAGTTTATTTCACCAGAATAGTATAAACTCCAAGTATTTTACCTCAAGATTAACCATCCTAATGTTACCTGGAGGATTAGGTTAGGTTAGGTTAGTGTTAGGTTAGTGTTTGGTTTGGTTAGTGTTTGGTTAGTGTTTGGTTAGTGTTTGGTTAGTGTTTGGTTAGGTTAGTGTTTGGTGCCGTAAGTTAGTTAGTGTTTGGTTAGGTTAGGTTAGTGCTGGTTAGTGCTTGGTTAGGTGCTAGTGGTTTGGGTTAGTGTTAGGTTAGTGTTTGGTTAGGTTAGTGTTAGGTTAGGTTAGGTTAGGTTAGGTTAGGTTAGTGTTTGGTTAGGTTAGTGTTAGGTTAGGTTAGTGTTTGGTTAGTGTTTGGTTAGGTTAGGTTAGTGTTTGGTTAGTGTTTGGTTAGGTTAGTGTTAGGTTAGGTTAGGTTAGGTTAGGTTAGGTTAGTGTTAGGTTAGGTTAGTGTTAGGTTAGGTTAGGTTAGTTCATCTTCAGGTGGATTAAGATGTGTCTAATCTCCAGGTGATCCGACACTCGTGCTTTCAAATTCAATATTCTAGATAGTTCCTCTTCGTTTCATAAGTACTTCCGTCTATCAACAGCAAAAAGTTCGTATAAGGATTCCAGTCCCAGATGAAACAGTCCCAGACCACTACTCTCCAAATTACATGGTATCCAGATCCCCAATGATTCCCGGAGACGAATATTTGAAGTAAAAATGATATCAAACAGTAGAGGGTGTATAGGCCTATTCCTTCAGTGCCGGGGGGGGAGT